GGCTGACAAGACGTGAGACGTGCGGATCCATGTGCAAACTTTATTCACAGGCGTGGTCAGAAACAGGCATGGGTCAGACAATGGCAAACTGGTATGGAGAAGACAAGGCAAGGGCAATCCGGTAAACTAGCGCGGGTCAGTCGACGGCAAACGGAATCCAACAGGGCGAGACAAGAGGGATAAATCCAGGTACACAGGCAAAGATCAGAACACGGGGAAACAGACAAGGCAAGACAAAGAAAACTAGGTGAGTGGAAAATGCAGAACAATACTCGGCAGAGGGAAGGGATCTGAGTGAGTGTTAAATAGTGAGTGAGTGATATGAAACAGCTGTGTGCAATCAGTGCAATGAATGATGGGATATGTAGTCCGGGGTGATATGCAACAGTGTGTAGTGCGAGAGTCAATGAAAATGGAAAGGGTGACCTCTGATGGCTAGCAGACGGAAGTTCATGGACCGGATTCATGACAAATATGACGTTTGAGGAAAATATCTGGGATCTAATTCTTGCCCATATACACTCATCTTCTATAAACGCTAGACACACACTCATTCAATTTAAGGTGGTGCACATTGTCCATTGGTCCAGAACTTAAACAAAATATTTATCTTTCTTTCTTTATTTGAATGTATAACTATGATTGTCTGTTTTTTCTATTTTTTATTCATATGAATTAATGTATGGTTGTATGTTATATGTAGATATGTGTATATCTATTATTTGTAGCATATTACTATATTTACGTTATTGTTACTTTCTGTTTGACTTAAGATGAACCAAATAATTGCTTAAAAAAAATTAATAAAAAAATAACACCTTGGGCCTACACGAGTGCAACAGAAAAACATTGTGGTAAGAGTGCTTTCCAACAAGAAGCACTTCAGAAATAGCTTAAATTGCATTTATCAGGACTCATGGTATCTTAAAAAACTAATCCAAATTGCAAACTAAATCCAACCCTGAATATTTTATATAATTTTGAAATGAGTTTGTGAACCCGCAACCTCATATTCATATAGAATGAGATGTAAAGAACTGTGAACTGTCAAAAAGTGATAAGGTATAGCTAAGGGTGGTCCAGACCAACCTTACGAAAGTATGACTTACAGAAGGTATACTTAACTAAGAATGTTTTGAGAAACATGTATTAACGATAAGGTTTAGGTAAGGTTAAGGTACAACTTAAGAACGACGTAGCATTAATAAACGCCATCTTTGTCTCATAGATCTCAGACGCTTCATAATGAGTTTTTCTGTGTGTTTAAGATTAGAATAATTAAGTCAGAGTGAGAGTTAATGGATTAGTAGAGCTGCATGATTTAGGAAGGGGAAAAAATAACTGTGATTTTTCTGGTTAAAATATGATTTTTAAAACCAATATGGAAAAAAACAAACACCAGGTTTGTTGTGCTTTTGTAACGGAGGCCAGCGAGGAGGTGCTGTGCGGGTAAACCTCACTCCCCTGATCTCAAGAGACGCACTAGTGGCTGCAATCTTTAGCCTCCTTGTTAGTACGTCTGCCTCCCATGCCGGAGACCCGCGTTCGAGACCAACTCGGAACGAGAACAAGAACGAGGTGTGGCGGTGAGGACCCGGGAGAGAGGTGTTACATTGGTGCCGTGACCCGGATGGGAGTGAGTTTTAGGGGGGGGTGAGTGTAACAGAGGCCAGCGAGTAGGTGCTGTGCAGGTAAACCTCACTCCCCTGATCTCAAGAGATGCACTAGCGACTGACGCTAGTGGCTGCAGTCTTTAGCCTCCTCATTAGTGCATCCGCCTCCCATATCGGAGACCCACTCGGAGCAAGAATGAGGTGTGGCGGTGAGGACCCGCGCGAGAGGGGTTACACTTCTTTGTAGGGCTGCACAATTTGGCCCAACATTTTCTGCTATTATATTATAATAATCACTGCAAAAAATGCTTTTCTTACTTAGATTTTTTTGTCTTGTTTCCAGCCAAAATATCTAAAAATACCATGAAAATCAAGAAGTATTTTCTAGAAGTAAAGATTATTGTCTTGTTTTCAGAAAAAAACAAGTCAAAGTTAAGTGAGTTTTTCTTTAGTTTTTCCTTAGAACAAGCAAAATTATTTATAGGTGCTGTGCAGGTAAACCTCACTCCCCTGATCTCAAGAGATGCACTAGCGACTGACGCTAGTGGCTGCAGTCTTTAGCCTCCTCATTAGTGCATCCGCCTCCCATATCGGAGACCCACTCGGAGCAAGAATGAGGTGTGGCGGTGAGGACCCGCGCGAGAGGGGTTACACTTCTTTGTAGGGCTGCACAATTTGGCCCAACATTTTCTGCTATTATATTATAATAATCACTGCAAAAAATGCTTTTCTTACTTAGATTTTTTTGTCTTGTTTCTTGTTTTCCACGAAAATCAAGAAGTATTTTCTAGAAGTAAAGATTATTGTCTTGTTTTCAGAAAAAAACAAGTCAAAGTTAAGTGAGTTTTTCTTTAGTTTTTCCTTAGAACAAGCAAAATTATTTAGCTTGTTTCAAGCCAAAACTCACTTAATTTTGACTTGTTTTTTTCTGAAAGCAACAACAATTTTGCCCGATTGAGGACTATTTAGAGGAGTTCCTCGAGCTCTCACATCAAGTGCCCTGGAACAATGACACTCTAAAGACCGTTTTCTGGTGCGGCCTAGATGATCACCTGTATCAACAGGTTCCAGCAGGTGCTACTCCAGGTTCTATTCAAGAATATATTGATGTATTCTGAGGTTGTGTGGATCACCGTTTACAGTACAGGAAGCACTTCCCAAGTCCGCTGCCATGAGTAGGGTTCCTGAACCTGTTCCAGTTTTCGATTCTGAGCCCATTCCTGAGCCTATTGTCCCCATAACCTCTGCCATAAGCTTCTAGTGTCTGTTCCATCCCCAGAGCCCGCTCCAGTGTTGGCTCCAGCCCCAGGGCTCACTCCAGTGTGGGCTCCAGCCCCCGAATCCAGCCCGAAGAGGGCTCCTGCCCCCAAGTTTGGCCCAGTGAGGGCTCCTGCCCCCGAGTTTAACCCAGTGAGGGCTCCTGTCCCCGTGTTTAGCCCAAGGAGGTCTCCAGTCCCTGAATCCCCTCCAGAGCGCACTCCTGTGCCCGCGCCTCTAGAGCCCGCTCCTCGAAAGCGACCTCCAGAGCGCCCTCATGACCCCGTTTTAGCCAAGATGCCTGTAATTCTCCCCAAGTATTTTTTTGAGGGGGATTATAGGGCTCCAGCCATAGAGGCTGCTCTGTTGGCTGAAGTCTCTGGTTTGGCAGACATGACGTAAACTGGCTCTGGCATGGTGGGTACTGCAGGATTACGGTACCTAATCTGCATTTCCCACAGTAAATGAGGAACTGCTTAGTAAGTGGGCAAAGCCCATTTTTTTGGCCCAGATTCCATGCAACAGTGGTCTCAGGCATTAAATAGTTCCAGTGGTCAGTAAGTGACAGCAAAGTCCGCAAAGCTCCTCCACATAACTCTCCAGGGATCGATCTCTCGGATACCCCTTTTCCACCAATTCAGTTTGGGTGCTGGTTCGAAGCTAGAGCCAAGTTTCAAATCGGTTCTTTGTCTTTCGACACCCAAAGCACCAGCTCCGAACCAGGAAAAGTGGTTCGAAAGTAGCACCAAAACATTGGGCTAGAAGTAAGAACTGCTTGTGTCAGGGGCTGGGGGCGGGGTTACCGTGACCAACAAAATACTTTTAACCCCCATATTTGAAATAACAGCTAAACACGAACACGTTGGATTCGCTGTGTTGCCATGAACATCAATGGCAACGCAACATCCACCATTGTTGATGGTGTTTAGGCTTGTTCGGAATGGCTTGCCGGACCGGTCAGTGCGTGGCACCGGTGTGCCGGGGGAGCGACTGGAAGACAGATGGCTCTTTATGCTTTTGGATCATTCCCGTGGCGCTTGTGCCGATGCATCCTGCACAAGCCCGTTGTGTTTGGCGCTGCCGCGCTACCGTTGCTAGGGGAAATGAGACGTATTCAGATGCCGTAAGACCTGGCTCTGTGGTGGCTCTCTAGCCAGTGGAAAGGTACACCGGTTCATAGAAGGCTCGCCAGTCGAACCAACTCCGAACCAGCAATAGCACTGGGGAAAAGGGGTATAAGAGAGCTGCAAGAGCTGCACTGCTGGGTTCATTTTTAACGGTCTAACTTTTTGTAACAAACGTTAACTGGAGACATGTTGCAGTGTGAACTTGTGTAGTATTATTTGCAGAAATGTGAATTAAACACAAACTAAACAAAGACTTGGCTTGGTAAACATGAACTAAACATGGACAGAAACACAGAACTCACCAACAGTGTTACAGGCAACGAAGCTAGACAAGAGACAATAGGAACATGAGGGCTATTTATACTAACAGACTAATGACAAACAAGGAACACCTGTGAACAATCAGTCAAAGAACCAATTAGAACATAAAACACATGACTAGAACAACCAATCAGGATATGACCCAATCACAAGGGGTGCATATGGCAGAATAACACGAGTAAGGGAAGCACATGACAAATAGGAAGCATGACAGCGAGAAATACAAAATAAAAGATATGAAAATATAAACATGAAACATAACCCTAAACCATGTGACAGAATTAAACAAGAAATGATGTAACATTTCCACAATATTTACAGCTAGTCTATTAGCACGCGAATAGCATTACCTGAGGTAATTTTCCTTTTTACTGAAGGTAAAAGTCACCTTAATATTTACTGATATTATCCATAATGATTACTGAGATGGCACATTCAGATGGGACTAAAATCACTGAGAAGCTCTGGTTATATTTACTCTATCCCACCACTCCATGTAAAACTAATCCTGTCCAAATAGGGTTTATCAAAGAACATAATCAGGCTCCCACATTTACATGATTTTTCATATGAATGTGTTAATGTGATGTTTTAATTAGACAGATCACAACTGAACTGTCTTTCTTCAGAGTGAATGCGCAGATGATTGTTGAAATTGCCATTTTCATCAGTGTGGCAAGGTTTGGATTTTCTTTCCAGAATGAGCTTTCGTTTCGTGCCGTTTCAGGTTTGTGTGATATGAGAAACTCTTTTCACACAGAACACACTTGTAAGGCTTCTCTCCAGTGTGAACTCTCATGTGAATCTTAAGGTTTCCTTTAACCGTGAAGCTCTTTCCACACTCTTGGCAGGTGAAAGGCTTCTCTCCAGTGTGAACTCTCATGTGAATCTTAAGGTTTCCTTTAACCGTGAAGCTCTTTCCACACTCTTGGCAGGTGAAAGGCTTCTCTCCAGTGTGAACTCTCATGTGATTCTCAAAGTTTGCTCTCTGTGAGAAACTCTTTCCACACTGGTGACATATAAAACAGTTCTCCCCTGAGTGAATCCTCATGTGAAGATCAAGGTGTGCTTTATATATGAAACTCTTTTCACACTGATCACAAACAAACGGCTTCTCTCCAGTGTGAATTGTCATGTGGGCATTAAGGTACTTTTTCTGATTAAAATGCTTTCCACAGTGACAGCATATGAATGGCTTCTCTCCAGTGTGAACTCTCATGTGAATTTTAAGATTTTCTTTTCGTGTGAAGCTTTTCCCACACAGTTTGCAGGTGAAAGGCTTCTCGCCGGTGTGAATTCTCATGTGAATTTCAAGATTTTCTTTTTGCGTGAAGCTTTTCCCACATAGTTTGCAGGTGTAAGGCTTCTCTCCAGTGTGAACTCTCATGTGAATTTTAAGAGTTTCTTTTCGTGTGAAGTTCTTCCCACACAGTTTGCAGGTGTAAGGCTTCTCTCCGTTGTGTTTTCTCATGTGAATTTTAAGATTTTCTTTTCGTGTGAAGCTCTTCCCACACAGTTTGCAGGTGTAAGACGTCTCTCCAGTGTGAACTCTCATGTGGGAATTAAGGGTATTTTTCTGTGTAAATCTCTTTCCACACTGAGAGCATATGAAAGCCTTCTCTCCAGCATGGATTTTCATGTGAATGTTAAGATTTCCTTTTAGTGAGAAACCCTTCCCACAGTGTTGGCAGGTGAAAGGGCTCTCTCCAGTGTGAACTTTCATCTGGACTTCAAAGTTTCTAGTTTCTGTTTTATGAGTTTTTGAGTAACTAAAATATTTCACCCCAACCATGAAATCATGACATTTCTCATACTGATCTTTCTCTTCCATTTTATTCAGCTCTTGACTCTCTTCTTTCAGTGCCATCAGGTCTAGGGTGAACAGAAACAAGAACAAGTTAACACCAGTTTAATGACACAAACAACAGACAGGACATCAATTCCAACAAGTATGCTAGATCCTATACACAACAAACAACTTAAAATAGGTGTAACCTGTAATCTCAAAACCTCTTAGGGTGAGCATAAGTGCCATTTTTCCTGAACATATCCTTGCCAGAATTTGTTTTGGATTTGTTTTCCTGTTTTCATACTTGCTGAAGGTAATGATCGAAAAGTAGTTTGATCAATAACATGCAGGCATTGTACATAATGGACCAATCATGGTGTGAGAAGGTGGGATCTACGGTCAAAGCGATGCAAATATGAGTACATACTAGGTGTGTTCAGCTTAAAGCGGCGCGGCTCAGACCAATCAGTGTTTGACATCAAAAGTACCTTGAGAGCGTTTTGAAAGCATAAGGAACTGTCTGTATGGTACTTTGATGTCATACACTGATCGGTCTGCACATGCAAATAAAGCCAAAATCTAGATATTTTAGGCAATATAGAAATCCTGGCCAGGACGCATCCGGGAAAAATGGCACATATGGTCACCCTAAAATCTCTTCAATATTCTTAACTCTTTGCTTCTTTAGGAAATGTCCAAAATACTCTCAAGCTGAAAGTTATCAAAGCCCTTATAGTCCCTCATTAACACCTCACACGTCTGCGACGCATTACGGCTCCAACAAGGTTTAGTTCCATCCTCCAGATGGCGCCAACTCACACCAGAAGCGTTTCAGAAGCGAAGCATCTGAATTTGCGAGACCACATGATTTGCCTGTCCGACGTGGTTTTTCTTGATTTTTGGGGTTCTACCATGGGTAATGTTTTATGTTATGTTTAATTGTGTTTATTGTTGTGTTTATTGCAATGCCCTACTTTGTTGTGCTGTAGATTACAGTTAATACACTTCAAAGTCCAGTTATGAACCACAAGGATAAAATATGTATAGCTGTGTTTTAGTCATTTAAAAAAACACCCTTAATTATCTTGTATCTGTATTTCAAATTCAGTCCCTGTGAGCAGGAGGAGAACACTGGCATTTGTTCTCCTACTGAAAAGTCTACAGAGGGGCAGATGGAGAAGGAGATGGTATTGGGTGTATCCGCTCAACCAAAGGAGACAACAAGTTAATTTTCATCATCTTGTGGCTGAACTGAGGCTGGACAGCCAACGGCATCATCAGTGTAGAGCAGAGGGATGAGGAACTGGAGAGAAAACTGAACAAAACAACAGCAGGTAAGCACACCAATGATCTGACAAAAGACAATAGCAAACACTCCACATATATAGCAGTCCTGACGAGCTTCAGGTGTACTGAACTGATTAGCTCGGCGGCTGAGAAGCATTTTCCCAGCAACGAGCTCCGCCAACACGTGACAAGGAAACAGACAAAACAAACAGGAATGAACGCACAGACCTGTGAACCGTGACTGTACTCCTCCTAAGAGAGAGGAGCCTATCAGAGGTGCCTACCTGTCAATTGTAATCATTGATAAGGGAGTGAAGCAGTATGTCCCTTGTGGGAACCCAACTTCTCTCCTCCAGACAGTAACCTTCCCAGTAGAGGTCTTCACGGGTCTACTTGGATCTGAAAAAACTGAGGTCCGACCCAAGACCCGAGCGGGTTCGTGTCCAAAATTTCTACGAGTGCCTCGGACACGGGTTGCGTTCGGTATTAGCGGCCTTGGGTCTTGGGTAATTTAAAATAAATGTGCTTTTTTTCTTTGTGTTCAGAAGCCTTTAAATAAATGCAGTCGGGTCAGACTCGGGTCTAATTTCATCGGGTCTGTCTCGGGTCGGGTTTTTCTTTTTTTTTTTATAATTTATGCACGTCGGGTTCGGGCAAGAAGTGATTCGGGTTGGGTGCAGTCCACCAAATACTGGAATGCTCCCTTCCGTCTCGAGTCCACAATACATCTGACCGAATAAACGGGTTCCTCATCTATGAGACGCGGCGGTGGGGGAACCGGAGCAGGCGGATTAACAGGGGAAAGAAAAATAGGTTTTAATTTGGAAACATGATAAACAAAATGCATTCTCCTGTACGCTGGAGGAAGTTTGAGGCGGATTGCCACTGGACTAAGAATTTTAGTGACAGTGAATGGGCCAATAAATTTGGGAGCAAGCTTATTACAATCAGAGCGGAGAGGAATATTTTTGGAAGAAAGCCACACTTTTTGACCAACGACGTAGATGGGGGGCTTCGTCTGAGCCTTAGTGCGCGCACCCACCTGAAGGAGAGCCTGTCTGGCTTTCCCCCAGGTGCGGCGGCACCTCTGGACAAATGCGTGGGCAGAGGGAACCACAACTTCAGATTCCAGACTGGGAAAAATTGGTGGCTGGTAACCTAAACTACACTCTAACGGAGATAGGCCCGTAGATGACACTGGTAATGAGTTGTGTGCATACTCCACCCATGAAAGTTGCTGGCTCCAGGAGGACAGGTTCTGAGAGACCAAACATCACAACACCCGCTCCAAATCTTGATTGGCCTTCTCTGTCTGATCATTGCTCTTAGGGTGAAAACCAGAGAAAAGACCAACACTCGCCACGAGCAGCTTACAAAATTCTCTCCAAGAGGAGAGAGGCCATGAATGCGAAAAATGCGATCAATGACAGCAGTCGTTGTCTCTCTGGCAGAGGGTAATTTAGGCAGAGGAATGAAATGGGCCGCCATCGAGAACTGGTCCACTACGGTCAGAACCACTGTGTTGCCCTGAGTGGGGGGAGTGCCGTAACAAAATCGAGCGAAATGTGGGACCAGGGTCTCGAAGGGACTGACAGCGGCTGAAGGAGTCCAGCAGGGGGTCGATTGGAAATAAAATATTTACAAAAATGTGAGGGGTGTACTCACTTCTGTGAGATACTGTAAGTGCCCTAGCAGGACAATATGGCACAAGAAGTTCAGAGATATAACTTGGTGCACAACCAGACAATGCCTTATAAACAAACAGACAATAAACAAACAACCCTGAATTTAACGGGAAGCCAATGAAGGGATGATAAAACAGGGGAAATGTGATCCCTCTTTTTAGACCCAGTCAAAAGTCTTGCCACAGCATTTTGAACAGCTCACAATCGTGACAATGAAGATTGAGAGTAATAAAGAGAGTTACAATAATCCAATAGAGATGTAACAAGTGCTTGAATCACAACTTCCATATCCTTCCTTGAAAGAAGATGCTTCAACTTTGCAATAGATCTCATATGGAAAAAACTTGCTCTAATAACAGCACTAATTTGTTTATTAAAAAAATAGAGAAGAGTCAAAAATCACTCCAAGGTTTTTGAATTGTTTGCATACATTAGTTAAAAGAGGAGCAGGAGACGAGTGTGCAGGACAACCTAATATTAAAACCTCAGTTTTATCCTCATTCAACTGCAGGAAATTATTAGACATCCATGTCTTAATATCATGTAAACATTTCAATAACACATCAAATGAAACAGCAGTATCAAGCCTTACTGGTAGATAAAACTGAGAATCATCCGCATAACAATGATATGAAATACTGTATTTTTTTAAAATGTGGACCAGGAGAAGCATATAAAGGGAAAACAGTAAAGATCCCAAAATGGATCCCTGGGGCACTCAACACAAGACAGGTGCAGAGGATTAGAAAAAAAATTCCTAAATTTACAGAAAAAGTCCTGCTCTCGAGATACGAGGCAAACCACTTTAATGCAATGCCTCGAATACCTACAATACATTCAAGTCGATCAAGAAGAATGCTATGGACAATGGTGTCAAATGCAACCAACACAACGCAATCACCTGAATCTAGAGAAAGCAGCATGTCATTTGTAACTCTAAATAGAGCTGACTCAGTACTGTGTAATGATCTAAAACCAGACTGAAACTTATCTAAAACATTAAAAGAATCCAAAAAAACGACTGAAGTTATAAAAACACTTTCTCCAAACGCTTGCTGATAAAAGGCAACTTAGAAATTGGCCGAGAGTTACAGCACATTGCTGGGTCAAGCTGAGGTTTTTTCAGTAGAGGTTGCACAACTACATGATTAAAACTGGCTGGAACAACACTTTTGGCTAAAGAGTTGTTCACTATAGCTGTTACAATAGGACTAATAGCAGGAACAACATCTTTAAAAAGATGTGCAGGAATAATATTTAACTTAGAACCAGAACACTTCATAGTAGAAACAATATCATCTAGCTGATGTGATAAAACAAGTTGAAAGGAAGACAAACAACTTGTGGTACAAGGCAATTGCAAATGAAGTGATTCAGAAGGAGCAATAGAGGTTCTGATAGCATACATTTTTTGAGTAAAATAGTTTTAAAAATCCTCACAAAGCTCAGAGGAGGCCTCAGATAATAAATTCATAGTTGGGTTTAAAAGAGAGTCATCATATCAAACAGAGCTTTTGGTCTATTCACATTATCAGCAATTAACAAGAGGAGCAGGAGACGAGTGTGCAGGACAACCTAATATTAAAACCTCAGTTTTATCCTCATTCAACTGCAGGAAATTATTAGACATCCATGTCTTAATATCATGTAAACATTTCAATAACACATCAAATGAAACAGCAGTATCAAGCCTTACTGGTAGATAAAACTGAGAATCATCCGCATAACAATGATATGAAATACTGTATTTTTTTAAAATGTGGACCAGGAGAAGCATATAAAGGGAAAACAGTAAAGATCCCAAAATGGATCCCTGGGGCACTCAACACAAGACAGGTGCAGAGGATTAGAAAAAAAATTCCTAAATTTACAGAAAAAGTCCTGCTCTCGAGATACGAGGCAAACCACTTTAATGCAATGCCTCGAATACCTACAATACATTCAAGTCGATCAAGAAGAATGCTATGGACAATGGTGTCAAATGCAACCAACACAACGCAATCACCTGAATCTAGAGAAAGCAGAATGTCATTTGTAACTCTAAATAGAGCTGACTCAGTACTGTGTAATGATCTAAAACCAGACTGAAACTTATCTAAAACATTAAAAGA